TTGTGTAAATGTGTGCTGTTTTTTGTTTTTGTGACCTCCATTATCACTCTCTCTTTGTCCTCCTCAGCTCTGTTTGTCTGTGTGTCGATGTGTGTGAATGTGAGTGAGCGTTTCTCTGGCTTCTTGGTCTATGGCGACTCCAACGATCTGCAGGGTTAAAACCTGCCGGAAAAAAAAGTCCCTCTCAAGGATCAGATTACCAGAGAAAAACTCAGACAGAGAGAGAGTGACAGGAGGCAGGGGTTTGAGGGAATACATGGATTGCCGTGCAGATTCAGGAAGGAGTGAGGAATAAATACAACGAGAGAGTTTACATTTTGAGCATTTAAGATCATGAGGCATCTTTTCCCTGAAATCAATCTCATTATTTCCACCTCGGCTACTGGCATCTATGGCAGCCACGGACATCGAGTCAGGTAGAGTGAGTTATATGTGTATTATGTTTGAGATTTCTTGGAAAAATAATGTGTTAGTGGATGTTAATGTGTGTTCTTTAAATGAATACCTGATTTACAAATCCTTCTGTCTGGGTGTTAGCCAAGCAAAGTGTGTTATAGATTTGTAGTTTGATCCTTTTAGGTTCATAGGAAAGTGTGTGGGCATCTTTTAAGGCTGATTTTGGTTTAATTGAAATTTTTAAAGACTCAAAGCCCATCTATATGGGATTTATGGAGAAATCAGTGCCTTGTCCACATATGTGTCTTCTACTAGAGAAAGTTTTGATGATAAAAGCATTTATAATGAACGCTGAGGAGTCAACATGCAACAAAGAAAGAGAAAAGGAAAGCAAAAGAAAGTGTGTTGATTCACTTTCATGCACTCTTTAGACTATATGATAGATAGATAGATAGATACATAGATAGATAGATAGATAGATCTAGTCCTCTGTGACTGATAGGGGTTAAAGGTCACATGGGTCACTTGTACCATTGTGTGGCTGGTGTGTTTGAGTTGGTGTGTGTGTTTGTTTGTGTTTTCTTTTGTTGCCATAGTACGGTCTGAATGATGGTGGCCACCCGGGAGTGAGAGGATGGTGTTAAACACAGTTATCAGTTACTCTGGTTAGCCACTATGACCCTGAACAGATTAAAAAATGTACAATAAATGTACAGTATTAAAAGCTTATTATGAGTGGGCTTCATAGACCTGTGATGTGGTTCAAAAATCACTGCTAATGCTCTTTTTTGAGTCCAAGGATGTGTTTCTGTATAATGTTTCTACTGATGATCAGAACTTAATAACACGTTCCATAACATTCATACTGTATCTTTGGAAACAGAGGCTCAGATACTGTAATGTCTAGTAAAGTTTTTTAAAAATTCTTGTCTCTGTCTCTCTTTCAGTTGGGATGACAGTAGTTCAGTCAGCAGTGGGGTCAGTGATGCTATTGATACTGATGACATCAACACCAGCTCCTCTGTAAGCTCTTATGCCAACACCCCCGCCGCGTCCCGTAAGGCTTTGAACGGACAGGTATGACCCGCACACATTTGCACACACACACACACACTTTTATGCATTCATTTATGAATGCTTTGATCCAATATCACATATCTGTGCATGCTCCTTTGTGTAAAACAGAGGTCTCAAACTCAATTCCTGGAGGGCCACAGCTCTGCAGAGTTTAGCTCCAACCCACTCCAACTCACACCTGCTTGGAAGTTTCTAGTAATCCTGAAGACCTTGATTACCTGGATCAGGTGCGTTTGATTAGGGTTGGAGCAACTCCAACTCCAACTCCAAAAAGCAGAGCTGCGGCCCTCCAGGAATTGAGTTTGAGACCAGTGGTGTAAAACCTGAAATTTGGAGCTCATAAGCATCCAAACATACTAAACTTGTGTGAATTTCTGTTTGCACTTTATTCCAATACTCCACTTTAGACATACTAACTTTGCAACTACATGTCAATTAACTCTCATTAGAGCATTAGTAGACTGTTGGGTTTGGGTTAGTAGAATAACTTGGCATGTACTTGCAAAGTACTTACAGCACATCTGTTTTCAACACTGATGATAATAATAATAAATGCTTCTTGAGCACCAAATCAGCATATTAAAATGATTTCTCTGCATCACTTGTGCTACATCTCAAACACAAAGAGGTTGTGTTCTTCTGTGCTCTGTCTGTCCAACCTCTTCCTTCCTTCTTGTGAAACCCCCTTCTCTTTCTGTTTGCTTGAACCCAACTCTCACATTCCCCTGCTTAAGACCCTCATTAAGTGCTAAATAGGTGCTGTTGATTGCATAGAAACTTATGTCAATATTTAAGCTTAAGCAATTGACATGCCACATCACAATAAAACATTGGAACAAATATGCGGTCTAAAACAAATAGGTTGACTCGAGCTTCACTTCTACATTCCTCTGGACTGTGATTTCTAATTATATTGATATGGTAAGTTTGGTAAGTGTGGGTGGAAAAAACCCTACAAACTCTAAAACCACCAAATCTACTGCCATGTGCTGTTTGTTGTTTTATGGTAGATGTGTTACTTTTAAAATAGAATTAAACAGGTAATTATAAGTAAATATATTGATAACTAACAACTCAATTCTAAAATTTGGAGCCTAATTCCCTTAAAAAGTTTGTCACCTTAATACCAATAAATACCATTAACGGTTTATCCAGTTATCCATCTGTCGTATTTCTATATCACATCACTGTGGAAAATATCTGAATACTTGCTAATATTCATATAATAAATCTGTTCTAAAATTTGGTGCCTAATTCTTATAAATTAAGGAATATTTATACTTTTTAATATTGATACATTCATAATGTTGATTTGAAAGTTTATATTGTTTTGCGTAGCCTCAGACAGATGCAGAGAAGCATTCAGCAACCGAACGCAACACTGCTTGGTCCAGTGATGAGGTCAAGATGAAGTCAGATGGGGGTTTGGATTGCGGCATCAAAATGGAAGCGGGTCTGAAGTGGCGGCGGAACCCTTCAGATGTTTCAGAGGAGTCAGAAAAGTGCAGCTCTGGATGGAAAACTGCACCCATCACGCAGACGGGCTCCTGGAGGAGGGGCATGAGCGCGCAGGTGGGCGTGACTGTGCCGCGGACGAAGAGTACAACTGCAACCACAGGAACCGGCATGATAAAGACACAAGGAACGGGTAGGTGTTCTCTTTCCAAAAGTGTTTTGAAAATATTTTCTCTGCAGCTGGTCAGTGATGTTTGTCTTTAGGCTTTAAATTCAAATGAAAATTTGATTTACGGCTGCACGATTAATCGAATGAGATTGAATCAAGTTACGTGCTGCGTGTTTCAGAGTGAATCATGGCACTGTGTTCTATTACACACAAGCTCATGGTCCAGAGTTTTCAGTGTCTCAAGGTGCAACTTTTTTGAGCAATGTTGCTTGCGCACTTTTCCACTGAGAATGGGCAACAAATTTCTATCTGGATACTTTAAATCAATTTTGGGCTCTGTGTCTCACCTGGTTGCCCGTTGATGGCAACATTGCTCAAAAAGTTGCCCCGTGTATCACCTTTAGAGCAGCTCGGTTCACAGTAAATGCTGCTCCACATGAACTCTATCCCCTCATCTGTTCGAGTTTGAGTCACTTATAATATGCAGTTGGGAGCACTGCATGTACCAACCATCTTCCCAAACTTGTAATGGAAATCACTTATAAACCAACTGTTTTCAACTCATTGTCAACTCAAAATAAAAGTTTGATGGTTAAGTGTTTGAAAATGGAAAACTACTGTAAATATTAGCTTTTTAATTTTACAGATTATTTTCTTAAATATTTATTTAAATACTTATTTACAATAGTACATTTTTGCATTTGTTTGTTATTATTATTTATTTATTTTTAATATTATTATTAAGCAACCACAGCTAGATATTTTATTTTTCATTTGTTCATTTTTTTTTCTTTTTAATCACAATTTTTATCAGTTGTACTGTAAAATACATAATCAAATTTTTTTTCTTAAATAACTGCTTAAACTAAATACATAATGCAGTGAAATATTATAAGTTATAATTCTTATTTTGTTTAATATTTTTATTTAGTAGTAGTAATAATAACATTATTATTATTATTATTAATATTATTATATAGTCATATTGGTATACAATTAAAAAAAAGGCCAGATTGAGCAACCCTACAAACAAACACCGCAAACCTGGAGCTTTTTTTACTATTATTTGCATTTTAAATCACAATTTTTATCAGAAAAATTGCGTTTTCGATTTCCCCCCCCAAGTCACATTGACCTCCTACACACAGCGTTGACTTTATCTGCAAGTTTTATGCATTATCAACTCGCCAAGCTGTAACATTCTTTTGTCCGATAGGTAAAACAGATGACACCAAGGTCTCCGAAAAAGGCCGCATGTCTCCCAGTTCCAACATCGTCCAGCATTCCTCCTCCGATGCCGGTCGAAGCAGCGGAGACGAAGCCAAGAAAACGCCCGCAGGCCGAGTCCCCACAAGCACATTTGGTTTCAAGAAGCCTAACGGTGCCCACGGCCCGGCCACTGTGGTAACCACCTCCAGCATCACTCTGGTGACAGCGAGCGGTGCCACCATTACCAGTGGCTCTGCCACCCTGGGCAAGATTCCCAAATCCTCCGCCCTCCTGGTCAGTGGGAGAGCATCATTAAAAGGGGCTGTGGATGGTTTATTGCCCCCTCAAGAAGATGGCTACCTGTCCCCCAGTGCTCGTTCAACGCTGCACTACCGAAGTCTACCGCGACCCTCTCGTTCTGGAGCCACGTCCTGTAACGGAAACCGATCATCCACAAGCAGCATCGAGTCAAGCTTGAGCTCCCGGATGCCCGTCCTTACTGCCGTCACGACTAGCAAACCGAGAGATTCTGGCACTAAAACCAACGGGCACGCAATCCAAGCCAATCAGACGGACAAAGAGAAGGGCGTGGCCTCAGAGATGGACAACCTGAGAACCAATCCGATCGTTTCGGGAGGAGGGGCAGCAACTATCCCACAGACAGCGAGACAGGGAAACAAGTATAGCGAGGTCTCGTCTCCAACATTAAGAAGGTACGGAAAGGAGCAGGGGCAACGTACCACACACAGAATTTCACCCTCATAAATCAGAGTTTCCATTGACGCTTCCTCAGTTAATGGCCCCGTTCATCTTCTCTGGCCCCTCTTACATAGCCAAACATGTGAAAGAAGGAATGAGTTTTTGTAACCTCCTGCAGCTCCATGATTAGGGTCTTTCTGAAGCTGTTTACATAACCTGCTTTATGACAGTCATGGATCATGACTCTCCAGGGTGGTAAACATGCATTAGCCGAACTTTTTTCGTTTTTTTACCGAGAACCGTTGCACCCCTAGTGTATATGTAGTAGACTAGTTAGTCTTAGTGTAAACTAAAATGCCTTTCCAATTTACTTCCATGTCTCTTTCAGAAATTAAAGAATCTGGATATTATGTTTACTCTTATACCGATGCATGATTTCTCATTCACTGTTTTGTTCTTATTATCTGATTTACTAAGTGTTTGGTTTTATTCTCTGTTTCTCTTTCTTCATCTCTCAGACTTTTTGGTGGTAAGGCTGCTAAACAGGCCCCGGTTACCTCTGCAGAGAGCATGAAAAACTCAGTCGTCATCTCCAACCCCCACGCTACCCTTGGGCACACCCAGTCCTCCGGTGGGCCCTTGGACTCCCCCAACACAATACCGGGCAGCGGCGGCAGCAGTCCCCTGTACGGGGGTCGCGGCGCCAGCATAGGGGGCAGCGAACAAGCTTCGAGCCCTGGTTCGGTGTACTCAACAGGCACTGGGACTTGGGGCACCACCATCAGCAGCTCTTCGGCTCTCGGCTACCCCTCCGTCAGCAGCATGCACACCAGCAGCGAGTCCATCGACATGTCAGTGGGCAGCGGGCATCACCGCGACGATGTCCACCCGGTACTGATGCGGACGGGTAGTGCCAAGACAGGCATGTCAGAGAGGTGAGTCTGGGAGAGACTAGAAAGAAAGAGTCTTTGTACTTTTTTATCTGTGAGACTGGTCTGGGTTAACACTGAAATATTGTGTATTATAATTCAGAAATTGGAGTGCTAGTCTGAATTGGATTTTGAATCTGAATTAGAATCAGTTCTTGATTCTGAAAAGTAACTTTTGCACTGCAAGGTTTAAGGGGGTAACCACATTTAAATGGGGAAATAAATCTCCTATATGATTTTTTTTCCTGTGTGTACAGAATCCAGGAGCAAAGAGACATGACATTTGCAGTGTGTATGTGGTCTATGAGAATCAGAATTCTGAATCGGAATCCAAATCTGAATTAGAATTCTGAATTTGATTCAGATCTAATGGGAAATTCCTATCCATTAAATTCAGTTAGGTTGTTAAATCAGGAAACTGATTGCTTTTCAGTATTATTTTTATACTATTATAGTATTCATTACATTTTTAACTGGCTTATATATATGTGTGTGTGTGTGTGTGTGTGTATTTCTTTTATAATACTATAAATATATACTATAAATAAATAATACTATAAATATTTATAACTATTCGTTAATAGTTTTTGTTTACCATAACGATACTGTTTTTATTTATATTTTATTTATACTAAGTAATTTGATGCTTGCTCATGTAATTTTATGAATTATCATTTATAGTTATAATTTTTTTTCTTTATTCTTAAAAATAAATGTTTAATTTGTTGGTATAAAACCCAGTTGATGGATAAACTTTATATTGATAGGCAAACTTTAGGTTTACAATTTAAAACTGAATATGTGTCATTCTATCACAGTACTCAGCATAATAACACACTTTATCAAGTTGACTGCAGTGTGGAAGCCTCTTGGGGTGCCTGTAATTCTGTATTCATCTCTTCTCCAATGCTCTATGTTTGTCTATCAGCCCTCTCCTCTCCCCTCTACTTTCCCCAAGTCCCCTCTCCTCTCCCTCTGCAAGTCCTAAATTCAGCCGTAACACATTGCCCCGGAAGCAAGACAGGTAAAATGTCCGATAGCTTTTGAGTCCGCTTATGCTGTTTCTTAATAATGACATAGCTTTGTGTCTTTGTGTTTGCGTCATTTTAAAGTTTTAAAGACCCCATGCAATCAAAATGAGGTTTTGTGGCTCTTAGTCCATGTCTCATTTAAATGCTAGTGAACTCCAAAAAAAAAAAAAAAATTATCTTCTGGACAAATGGACCAAAAATAAGTTTGTGATAGAAGTGTCTGGTGAGGTTTTGCAGGGCTGTGGCGTAAACTTAAGGCTACTGGCTATTTAAAAAGGGACTTCCTGTTTCAATAGGAAATATGCCAACACATGAACATGATGTAGAACTATGATTGTCAAACCATTTCATGGGGGCTTTAATTACACCTTTGTTAGCACTTGTTACTCTCGCGACACCTAGTGGTAAAATTCATAACTTTCCTCAATCAAACCCAGAGCTTTGATTACAAAGATGGTTTATTTGCTTTATGATTAATGTGACAGCATAGATCAAGAACAGCTTTTGTTTGGACTCTTAGGAGTTCTCAAAGGACAGATCAAAGGATAATCACCTTTAATAGTTCAATTATAATTGAATTAAACCTTATTATCTGTTTGGAGTGGACCAACCCCTCATGATTGAGTAAGCTCTACATGTTCCTCTCCTCCCTCGCTGTTTTAATTTCATCCGTTTCGCAGTGATTCCTGCAGGGATAGAGACACGCTTCCCAAGCAGGGACTCAAGTACAGGTGCATTGTGGGAATATGCAGATCCTGCTCACTGTGCTTATTATACTGGCACTCATGTTCTCCTTTCTGTTCTGTTCTCTCTCTTGCACATGCTTCTGTGTTTTAATATGCAGTGTGGTTACAGTTTTATTTTTGAGCACTGTTTTCTGTTGCAGTTTCGGTGTGAGCGCATGGCACTTGTCACTTTTTGTAGTTTTTTCACATTATGGAGTACTATATGTAAATTAGCAGGTTTTTTTTGGAAATGTATGTTTTTTCTTCCCACAGTTTTATTACTTTTTCTGTCTGCAGTGTGTGAGCAAATCAAAATTTTAGCCCAACTTTTATTTGTAATTCCATTTACAAGCTATTGATGATTTCCAAATAATTCTTCACATTATGAACATTAATATTTTATTTATAAGGTTTTTTTTTAATGCAAAGTATATATTACACATTAATGTTAATAATAGATGTTCTAAAATGTAAAACATAAATATATGTTCATATATACTACCATTCAAAAGTTGGTGAGTGGAAAAAAAAAAAAAAATTTCAGCATCATTACTCCAGTCTTGAGTCTTGCATCATCCTTCAGAAATCATTCTAATATGCTGATTTGCTTAATATATCTGTGGAAACCATTATACATTTTTAAGGACTCATAGATTAATAATCATTCATAATGATTAACAGAAAGTTCAAAAGAACAGCATTTATTCTAAATCAAATTTTTTTTAACATTCTAATTGTTTTAGTGTCTTTCGGTCAATTTAATGTTGCTGAATGTAAGTATTAATTTCTTTGAAATAAACTTTTGAATGGTAGTGTAAATATACAATTTTTAAAATAAAATATTAGAAATTAGAACTTATAAAATTACTTTACACATACTAAAATTACGGTGATTGGTCAGGTTTCAGATCACAGTGTTTGTAACAGTGACATTAGAATGCCGGTATCTGATTGGATGGTCCTCTTGTTGCAGGTACGCTCCTTCAACACATCTGCGTCAGGAAGAGGCACGTGATTGGCTGCGCTCACATTCGGCCGGTGGATTGCAGGACTCAACCAGTAACTCTCCCTTCTCCACCGGCTCCAGCTTGACGTCACCATCCGGAACGCGGTTTAACTTTGCTCAACTTGGTAAAATGCATATATTGTGAATATACAATATTGGATATAACATTTTCATAACGATTATTCAAGTATTCTTTTCTGAAATGCATTGTGTATTATTTTTAGGCTTGACTTAAGTGTGCACTTTGCTTTAAATAACATTTTGTTTTTGTAATTTTCCAGCATGGTTTGTCTGAAATTATATTACAAGCAGCAGACCATACTAGAAATTAATGTCATTTTGACTATTATTATTTGTCTTGTCTTGATTATGTGTTATACAGGAAGCCCCACCACGGGTGCTCAGATTAATCTAGCCAGCCTGCGCAACAACAGCCTGACCAATCAGGACAACCCGCTGGACAGCCATGGTGATTCCCGTCTGCGCAACTCCTGCATGTCTCTGGATGAGAAGACCCGCACCATGAGCCGGTCGGGATCCTTCAGGGACGGGTTCGAGGAAGGTGAGATAAATAATTTGCAAGAGACAGTAGATTCATTTATGCTCTTCTATACTTTATAAATGTTACATTAGATTAGTACATTACATTAGTCTGTCACAACTTAAATTATTTTTGCATTACCGTATCTATGAATGATAAATGCAATGATTTATAATTTGACCAAAATAAGGTATCTTAGAAGGCATAATAATGTTGTTGTCTACATTTTGGAAGAGTCTACATGTCAGGAGCACCTGTATAATACTTAAAAATGTTGTCTTGGTAGGCAGCTTACTCGTTGTGCTTTAAAGACAAAAGAAGATAGGCTTTTATAAGAAGAAGGTAAATTTCTGCAACAGCTTGTCAGCTTGAGCTCCATGCTGAAATACAACGCACAGACAGCTGAATCCAGCATAAGCCCATCTGTCTATCCTCAGTCTATTCACCCATTAGACTAAATCAACAGTGTCTGTTCTCCTCTCTTTCACTGACACACATGAAATCTTTTTGAATAATCATTGTATACTTAAAGCTTTGTTACATTTTAAGTCATTCCAATTTTCCACTCAGCCCGGACCACCTGTTCATGCAGTTACCTGTTATGAGTCTCTTCTTTAAGAGCGGAAAGATGTTTGCCAAAGACAGTTAAGCCATAAACTGACCCCTGCAGAAAGATTTAAAAATGACACTAAGTATGTCTAAGTATACTAAGTATAATACAGCCCAGTATTACCCAACTGGGCCTTTTGTGACATCTGAAACCAAATACAGGTTAAAAGCCATGTACGTTCTCTTAAGAATAAAAAAAATATGATACAGTATGTGTGCCACGGACAGGGGACTGAACTCTGTGACTCTGAAACATGAGTGCTGTAAAAGTCCCAGAGGGATTGTGGGAACAGGTTTGAGAGAGGACTTGATCCACACACAGGAAGTAAAGAAGATACATTTCATATCCTCAGCCTCTGGCAAAAGTTTATCTATCTATCTATCTATCTATCTATCTATCTATCTATCTATCTATCTATCTATCTGTCTATGTGTCTGAGCCCTCATACACCAGCAGCAGAGAGCTGGCGTAGAAATGCAGCTCAGTCTGGATCTCAAACCAGCGGAGAATGCTTCGGATTTTGGAGATAATCAGAGAAACTGCATGCCTCTGTAGTTCTTGACCATTGTGGAAGAATCTGCTCAGGCCTAAGGGAATACAAATTCACAGATTCATTTTTGTGGCTTCATGATCAACGTGAACCGCAATTTCATTTTTAGCATTAATATAAACATAGTTCACATTATTACTAATTCTAATAATGTGTCAAATAATCAATCTATCAATCTATATCTATCTATTTATCTGTCTATCTGTCTGTCCGTCCGTTCTGCTGTCTGGCTCTCTGTCTGTCTATCTATCTGTCTATCTCTCTGTCTGTCTGTCTGTCTATCTATCTCTCTGTCTGTCTCTCTGTCTGTATTTGAAATATCTTGGAGTACCACAAATACCATGGTAAATGAAAAGAAAATGCTTTATTGGCTAGGTCTGATTACATAGAATTAAATTATGCTTACATTTGAATTAAATGGTAATCATTCAGTACCATAATGTATTTCAAAGCACGGTGTATCCTGATACCATGTTTTTTTTTTTTGTGCGTAGGACCATGCCTTTCCAAAACAACCATAACAGACTCACGTACAGTAGGTAATAAGCTGTGAGATACGTAATGAGTTTCTTTCCCTAAACCATCCATCCCGTCTTTCTCTCTCCCTCTCTCTCGCAAACACACTTTACTCTCTGTTTTGGTTTTCTGGGTAGTCCTCAGCCGAGTTTATAAGCGTCGCTGCTCTTTCATTCTCGCATCTAAACCCCGCCCACATCACGCCCAGCCAGCCGCTTGCCGTTTCCCCATGGCTGATAGGGCATCATGAGGAAGTGCCAGGGACCCGTGGGTGGACTGTGGTTGGGCTGCTGTCTGTGGTTTGTTTGGGAAATGATTTTCACACCCTGAAATGAAAGTCACACCCTGAGCTCACAGTCACGATCAGCGTTACTGTCTGTTACTGATGTTGTCATTACCTCTGATGAGTCACATCTTGTCGGGGCAGGTGAAAGTTTAATTAGAGGTTTTAGTTGTTAGACACAGTGTGTGGGTTGATGCTATTGTCTGTGTTTGTTTGTCTGTGTAGGTTAGCCGGGGGTTAACGTTGCATTTAGGTGTTTTAAAAAGTGAGCATTCATAAACTGTGCTGGATGTAAACTGTTCTGTGTACTTAAAAATCTACTACTTCCATTAAGTAGTCATTTTAGTGTTAAAATACACTGACTTTATCTGATGTGCTCACTTTTGATATAGGTTTTTTATTATGTTCCCTAGCAACTGTCTGTCACATCCCAAAATTTCTTAATTACTATACTTTTATGTTTTTCTCCCTTTAGTTCATGGATCATCCCTCTCGCTGGTGTCCAGCACCTCTTCTGTCTATTCAACGGTGAGTTTTTTGTGTGTATGTTTTAAATTAATATTTTTACTTTCTAACTTACTTTTTTTCGTACAAACTCTTCCATAATAAACATAAACATTTATTAAAAATCTAAATCATACAATCGGAACACCAAATTGTTGTACAGTTAACATGTGATAGATAGATAGATAGATAGATAGATAGATAGATAGATAGATAGATTTCAGTGATTAGGTTTCAGCCAGTGATTATATAGGAAAATGGATAAATTGGAGTGTGCCACACCTCCAGATGGGCGGCTCTACTTACCTGCAGAGGTGTTTTAACAACAGTCTCACTCTGGCACACGTGTAGTGAGTCTTCAGTTCAAATGAGGTTGACTTCAGGAAGAGAGGAGGTAGTTGGTTACATACTTAGGTAGTAGAGATTTGTTTAGAAAGGATCAGATTTACTGAAGTATAAAGAGTGGAAAATCATGATGATGGCGACTCTCTCTATGGGGAGAGCTGTGACTTCTTGGGGATACGCGGTAGGAACCTTCGTTTTTAGATTGCTCCTATTCTATATTTATATATTTATGTGACATATTATTACAGTTCAATCATTCTTAGTTATGTACCAGTAAATAAAATCTGTAGTGACTTGAAAAGTGTATCTTGTTGGACTTAACTAAGCAGAGAATTGACTCTACAGTCTGTCTGAAGTTATTTGTCTGGAGTTGGATGCTGTAAGGTGTTTTTGTTTGAGTATGTGGGAAACAGCTGTCATGCAGAAACATAATGTCTCTTAGACACAAACATGAAATACTCTGTGGTGCTTTTAAATGTACAGGTTCATTCTGTACAACAGAGTACTGAACGTTCATCAAAAGCCAGATATAATAGCATGGTAATCTTTGGTCTCAGAGACAACAAAAGCTCAGAGATTTCAAACAAAGCTCTTCTGGTCAGAGTTGCATTGACAAAATCACCATGTTGAGTCTGTATGATCAAACACATTTACAAAAAGCCAGATTTGATTAAACCGAAACCAGCTAGATGCCGCTGGGGTTGTCCCTCATGTCATATGATGCTGTGACGGACAGACAATGCTGCTATTTTAATATCACTGTCAGTCTAGCTGTCGGACAGGTGTCAACAGTAAAGAAAATCATTAGAGTGGGTGTCATTGCATGCGTGTTTGCCAGACGACATACAAAGAGCCCTAGTATGCTATTGTTGTCTAGAGCAGACATTTGTCAGCAAGCATGCTCATTCACCTGAAGATTTCAAAATCTAGATTTAAAATCTGGAAATAAACAAGTTCTAAGATTTTGAAAAAATGTAGAGCGAAGAAATGTTATGATGTACAGTAATATGAATCAGAAGTATTTAATATTGGACATTATTTCTAGATCACTTTGTGACAATTTTGACTTTTTTGTGCAAAAGGTCAGATGTTCTTTGTTCCACTGAATCTGTAATTACACAAACTGTATTTTTTTTATTCTGTTTTTCACTCAGATTATTATGCTCATAATATATTGTAAAATAAAATAAACCATTGTGTGTTTTTTTTTTTTTAAAGAAGCATTTTTACTAGTGCTCTCACACCTGTGTATTTAAACTAAGCTTTTTACGTATGTGTTTGTGTCGATATCATTAAAGAGCTTCTGGGTACTTCCCATTGTCTAGTTACCAACTTTAGTGTTACTACCAACACTCAGTCATATTCAAATGTGTCCAACTTTCCATTTGTCTGCTAGTGTACCAGTAGAGATGAGCTCATAAATCACAGGAAAAGTCCCTCTTTAGAGCTTTAGGGTTATCATTCTGTTCACTTTCAGGTGTGTTGCTCTCTCTGGTGTTCATTTTAAACCCTCAGGAGAGAAAGCAGCTCATTTTTCAACTGCTAAACAAGAAAAGCTGAGCAAATACGCCGTTTAAAAGTGCCAGTAACTACTCTGTCTTTTTATTTTAACAGACGGAGGAGAAATCACATTCAGAGGTGAGGACGTGTTTGTCCTTTCGCAAAAACAACACACACGCGGCCCCCCACATACCTGTGAACCGCATTGCCGTCACCTGTAGCGTGTTTATTCACCACCATTGACCTGTTGTGAACACAAACTGTGGGCGGATTCACGGTCGGCTCTGTGATCTCTGTGATCTTTACATCTACCTGTGCAACACACCTGTATTCTGTACATACACCTGCAAACTGTTTCCCCTTCTCTTTGATACCAAATCACAAAGTTCTCTTTCCACGACACACCTGGATCCCTTGTGTGTGCCTCCTTTTCCTCTTCTTTTGATCTGTGTTTTGTCTTCCTCTTTTCAACCCGTTTCTCTTCTGCATTTTTTCTCCAGATCCGCAAGCTGCGTCGAGAACTGGACGCCTCCCAGGAAAAGGTGTCCGCCCTGACAACGCAACTCAGTGCCAATGTAGGTGGACACAGATACATAGTTCTGAGACTGCTCTTTATTCTTTTATTATATCTACAGGGCATAATTCATTCACAATTCAGTATCTAGTGTCAGTTGTCATCCTGAGGCATCTTATAAATGGTGTTATCGTAATCCCAGTGACGCCTGTGTGGGTTGTGTATTTGATTAATGTCAGCGTTGATCGTGACCTCATTGGAGTTTCCATTTGTCGTTATATTATCATACAATAGCACTACGTCTTAAGCAACACTGGCTATTGTAAAACATTTTCCTACACTTAACATGCACTTACCCATGTACAGTAGTTAAACCTGTTATGTTTAAAAAAAATTAAACCTGTTTTTAGAGATCACTCTACTATATAAGACAGTCGAAGTTACGGGAAATAAAGTCACAATGAACAGTTAGAATTCAAAGGGGTAGCATTTGCAAAAAAATTGTCACAATTTTGAGGTATAAAGTTGAAATAATTGTGACAACTGTGAAATATAATGTTATATTGTGAGATATGAAATTATAATTGTGAGAAATGTTCACAATTTTAGATATAAAAGTTATCAGAAAAGTAGTCAAACTCTGAGATATAAAAATTTAAACAATTTTGAGGTATAAACTTCACAATTATGCAAAGAGGTTCATTAGATAAGTCATTTTGTGAGATTAAATTACATTTGTGAGAAAAAAAGCAGTTTTGAGGTATAGTTTACAAATCACAATTATCAGAAGAAATCATTGTTGTGATGTATAAAATTATATTGTTTGATTTAACATTCATGAGGTACAACATTTATTAGAAATACTATAGTCACAATCTTGGGGTATAAAAGTCACTAATGTAAGATATAAAATTACATTTGTGAGAAATAGTTGCAATTTTGAGGTATAAAATACACAATTATGAGAAAGAAGTAACATACAACAGAAAAATCTAAATTTTGAGAACTAAAGTCACAACTGTGAGATATAAAGTCACAGTTGTAAAAAATAAGTACTACTGGGGGCCACTGTATTTTTATCAAATATAACATACTAGACTAAATTATAATATACTGCGAGACTATGCAGAATTCAAGTCATAACAGATCCACGCCATTTCCACCAGAGAAATGGGCTGTGTGTGATGTTTGATTTGATGATTTATGGCTATAGACAAAGGGGAGTACAGACCACATTCAGTGTTTTTGATATGTTCTCCTAAAGATAAATGTATGTGTAAATCACAAAGACATGTCTCTTATGCCTAAGGCAAAGGAATCCTGTCTTGTAAGTACAAACTAGACAAGATTTTTTTTAGAGGTACTAACAAAAGAGGAGTTTAAATGTGCACTAAAAAGACAAGATTTTCTCTTTTTGCTGCATTGTTGATTTCTTCCATTTCAAGCTTGTGCGTAATGGTTTCTGACATAATGTAGTACACCATGAACTTGTCAACTTGTTGAGAACAGTGTAAATTTTTGACTGGCGTGGAATGAGGTGAAGGATTATTTATACATGTAAGATATATATATATAGAACATTGTTTCGGTTTGATGATTATGTTTGCTATGCAGACAAAACACTACAGCTACAGAACAGTGAGAAATATCCAAACAGAAAGAAAAAGAATGGTAAAAAAAAAGGGCCCTTGAGACGCCAGTGAAACATGTCAAGGCCCCAGGCGGCCTCTTTGCTTTGTCTGTCTCAGTTATCAGTGTTAGGAGGAGCTTCACTGCTTCTTAATATATCGCTGTAGTTTCGTTATCAGAATCTGAGCTATCTATGGAACAGCAGAAGAGCTTTAGTGATGTTTGTTCTGATGGGACTGGCCCTCTGATCTGGCTCCCTTTGAACTGCTACCCTTCCCATGGGTGCCCAGAGAAACACACTCCCTCTCAGAAAGAAAAATATAGACAGGGAGGCTTTACGGAGACAAATGACAGCTCCCAAGACCCTCTTGGACGTGAGGTGAGGCGATAACCCCGAAGAAAATTGTATGCTTAGTGGTTGCTTTTCCATAGTTTAGGAATATTAGCTTGGAAAGTTTTAACTTTGACTCTCATATTTTCTTTGAAATATCTCATGACAAATAAAATGGGAATTAATGAGACAATTTTTGGTATTAAAAATGTGGTCAAGAATTTGATAGGAAATGTTTGAGTTTATATTTCAAATCTCTTTTTATTTCCAACTTTGTTATCTGAGCACAATTTAAGACGTTGTTGAGATCACTTGAAATTTTAGAGGATGCATGTGTAAATATTCAGGTTGACTGAAAATGAAGAGACTTGAGAAAAAGTCTCCATTAGATCTCCATTTATTGTCATTGTGGTCTGGGAGAAACAGTTGAAACTCTTCAAATGTATTTAAGCGATCATTTGTAATTGTTTTCATTCTTAAGGGGAAGATTAGATTTAGAAGGAAAGGTGAACTGTAACGAAAGGGTAAATTAAGTTTGTGTTGTCGCATGCAGGTCAAAGTTTAGATTGCACATCTAAGTGTTTGTGTTTAGTAAGTTTAAGCTTTGCTGCTTCAGTAACCAGTTTCAATAACCAGGCAGCTCCATGGGTCATGCATTTCATACAGCTTTGAATGAGGTATAAAATTTGCAACTATGAGAAAAGAAGCTGCATAACAAAAAATCATACTTGTTGTGAGATGAATGTCACAACTGTGTGAAATACATTTACAATTTAGAGAAATAAAGTCACAACTGTCAGATAAAAGTCCTATTGGGAGATATTAAATCACTTTATTTATTGTGATATTAATCATTAAATCACTTATTAAATCACTCAAATCACAATTATGAAAAAGAAATACTATTGGGGGCCACTGTGTATTTATAAAACATACTAGACTAAATTATAATATAGTGCGAGACTACACAGAAAAATTTGAGTCAGAACAGAGAAATGGACTGTTGGGAAAAACAAAATTAAGCTTTTCTGCTTCTGTTGAACGTTTCAATAAGCAGGCATCTCCAACACAGTTCGTGCAGCTTTGAATGAGTGCATTTGTGACTGCTCTTATCATCTCAAGGAAAAAGCTTTGCTTAGACATTTAATTTAAAGAGGTCATATGATGTTGCTAAAAAGAACATTATTTTGTGTATTTGGTGTAATGAAATGTGTTTATGCGGTTTAAGGTTCAAAAAACACATTATTTTCCACATACTGTACATTGTGAACATTTGGGTGGCGTTATGCAAATCTTCCCACATAGTGATGTAGATATGTGGGGGCGTGTTAGAACGAGCCGTTTTAGATAGGTGTGGCTGACTCTTAACTTTTATAAAGAATATCTCTTTGGATTTGAGACTTAAGTCTTTGCAACTTTACAGATCTTCTTTATGCACCAAGAGCTTGTAACACTCCAAAGAGAAAGGAAAAATTTAAATCGCATCATATGACCCCTTTAACCACCTTAAAGGCAGATTGCACAATGTCTCTGTGTTATGTTAATAGTGTATTATGGTGCAGCTATGATGAATGCATGCAAAAAAAAAAACATCATTTTGAACTTGGATGAACCCTCTTTCCTCATTTTGCCTGTTTTTCTCCACAGGCCCACCTGGTGGCAGCGTTTGAGCAAAGTTTGGGCAACATGACCATCCGACTCAAGAGCCTCACCATGAACGCAGAACAGAAAGTAAATATCAACACGCTTGCTTTTGAATTCATCACACTTGTTCATTAATAAACTTAAACAGAGTATTATTTTGTAGATGCATTGTCAATAAATATGTATTTGTATGTTAGGACTCTGAGCTGAACGAGTTGAGGAAAACCATTGAGCTGCTAAAGAAGCAAAACGCAGTGGCTCAAGCGGCCATCAACGGCGTCATCAATACTCCAGAACTCACCTGCAAGAGTGAACGCACAGGTGAGCAAAAGAAAATAATCAATAAATCAAGACTTTTTTTCAGTTTGACTTCATATTTGAAATCTCTGACATTTGATTTCAAACTTCTTGTTATTTATCTTTTCCTTTGACGTGAATAATTACATAAAATTATGTATTTTGAGCATTCTGTATATACTTTTCAGACATTGTTGTGTTCTGATGTATTATACAGTATTGTTTAGTTTTGCTGTTTAAACACTAAATGGCACACTTGAAGTCAACCAAAATCTCTCTCTGTTCATCAGGTAATAATAGTTCAGCCCCCGGAGCGCAGCCGGACCTGTGCATGCGCAGACAGCACTCATCTGACAGCGTCTCCAGCATCACCAGCGCCACCAGCCACTCCAGCCTGGGCTCCAACATGGACAACCCCGACTCCAACAGCAAGAAGAAGAAGAAGAACTGGGTGAGTACACAACATTTAAATAAAAAATAAAAAAAGATGGTTCACCCAAAAATGACAATTCTTTCATTATTTACTCAGCCTCAAATTGTTCCAGACCTGTATGAGTTTCTTTCTTGTGCTGAATACACAAGAAGATAATTTAAAGAATGTTGGTTACCGAGCAGTTTCCAGTCCTCAACTATACTATAGAAGTCAATGGGGACCATCAAGAGTTTGGTTACCCATATTGTTCAAAATATCTTCTTTTATGTTCAACAGAAGAAAGATACTCATACAGGTTTGGAACTATTTGAGGCTGAGTAAATGAAAGAACTGTCACTTTTGGGTGAACTATCCCTTTAAAGAAATATTCAACCATTGCTAATGTCTCGGTTGCGCGTCTGTTTAAAAAAAAAAATTATAATATATATATATATATATATATATATATATAATTTTGAACTTAATAATTATAATTGTGTTATTTTTTATTTTACATTTATTGATAATAAACCTTGTGATTATGCACTTATTTTCATTATGAACTTTTTATTTTTGTTTTTTATTTTAAAACATCTTGATTCTGAACTTTATGAATGTCTATTTTTTCTTTTATTTTAAACTTTTGCAACTATAGAGTAATAAATGCTATTTTATTGTAAATGCTGTTTAAAATAACTGTCAAAATGACTAAAATGAAAGTTTAAAAGCTCAGCACATTCAAATCTATACATAAAAAACACAGATAAAAAGGCTGCTTTATCTTCAATCTTTGATATGAATGATGCTCAACCCTGCCTTTTTATTTGACGCTGTGTCTCCCTTGCTGTTTTACTCCCCTGTCGGCACTGTACTGCTTCTCTTACACATATTGAAGTGCTGCCTCATCATTTTTGGAGAAACTCTCAGCGTCATGATCTTCTCTCTGTTGTCGTTGCAGCTGCGGAGCTCCTTCAAACAGGCCTTCAGTAAGAAGAAATCACCCAAATCAGCTTCGTCCCACTCAGACATTGAGGAGATGACGGATTCCTCTCTCCCTTCCTCTCCCAAACTCCCTCACAACGGCACCAGCACCTCGGCACTGCTGCTCCGCAACACACACTCCAGCTCAATGTGAGTGTGTTTGTGTTATATAACAACTCTGGTCCTCATAATGGACCAGGATTATTAACTAAAACTATTAAAAACATTTTTGTTAATTAAAGTAAGTCAGAAATAAAATATTAAGATCAGATTAAAAACTTTAAATGAAATTACAAATGTTGTCTCGGCAACTAATTGAAATAATATGAAATATAAAAATGCTAGTAATACTAAAACAACACTTAAAGACCGATATTACTGGGAAATTTGGATTTAGTAGGACTGGATATTGTGCGATGTTAACATCTAAGTGCTCTTTTCATCTAACAACATGTGTGTTGTCATGTAGACTGTCAGACTGTCTGGATGGGGAGGCGGAGTCTGTGATGCAGCTGCGTAACGAGCTGCGAGAGAAGGAGATGAAGTTGACGGACATTCGACTGGAAGCCCTAAGCTCCGCCCACCAGCTGGACCAGCTGCGGGAGGCTATGAACCGCATGCAGGTGTGAGACTGACCTTCACGTTACCTTCTTGCAGTCCCACGAATCTTCCGATGCTTCCTTTTGCAACAGTGTTTTTCACTATTTTTCAGTAGAAAAGAGAACTGTTACATATTTTATCGTTATCTGGGTGGTCTGATAGGTGGAGATCGAGAAGTTAAAGGTAGAAAATGATCGTCTTAAGTTGGAAAGCCAAGCCAGTGGGAGCAGGGTGTCCTCTCAAGTGTCCGTCTATAACGCGACCCCGACCCCCAAACCTGGCCTGTCTCAACACAGCCTCAACCTCACAGAGTCCACCAGCTTCAGTAGGAGCATACATGCTATTTTTTGTGTTATTTTTTTCCCTAAAGTTTGTTTTGTCGCTTTATGCAAGAAAAGAATCATAAAAGCACATTACAGATCTAGTCTGTCTTCTTTTAGACATGTTGTTGGATGACTCTGGTGGAGACGGAAGTTCTCGTAAAGAGAGCAGACATGTAAAAATAGTTGTCAGTCTTCAAGAGAACGTCACGTGGAAAGAGGTCGGTTCTCTCACCTTTTTTGCAGGAGGATTTTTAAAAGTGCCCCATTTGAGCGAGTTTTGTTTTAATGATGTGTCTTCTGTCTCCCACAGGACTGCAGGACTAGAGACTTCCTGATTGGCTGCATTGGTGTCAGTGGAAAAACCAAGTGGGATGTTCTGGATGGGGTTGTACGACGCTTGTTTAAGGTAGATTAATGAATATACATTGCTGTAATCATTTGTTGATGATGAATAGTTTACATTCAGAAGCATTAGACAGTGGTTCATTAAAAGTATTTTATGGGTACTTAATCTGTTGCGAAGTCTCTAGAAAGAAAGAAAGAAAAAGAATATTTTGCATACTTTAAGTTGGTTTTGTAAATACACAGTATTTTTTTTATTAAAATCAGCAGGAAATCAGTACAACAAAAACTAACATAATGACACTAACAATATTACTTTACAGATGTATTTAACAATTTAAATATGTATATTTTTAATAAATAAATGAACAAGATTTGTTTGTGTTAGAGTAGGCTACTGACAATTTTTTATAATGGAGGAAATATCCTTAATTCTTGTGAAAATATCTAAAATTATGGGGGGGAAATAATTGCTACTGACAATTTCTTATAATGGAGGAAATATCCTTAATTGTTATGAAAATGTCAAAAATATGGGGGGAAAATAATTGCTAAGTACTGGTAATTTCTTGTAATGGAGGAAATATCCTTAATTGTTATGAAAATGTCATAAATTATGGGGGAAAAATAATTGCTACTGACAATTTCGTATAATGGAGGAAATATCCTTAACTGTTATGAAAATATCAAAAATATGGGGGGAAAATAATTGCTACTGACAATTTCTTATAATGGAGGAAATATACTTAACGGTTATGAAAATATAAAAAGATATGGGGGAAAAATTATTGCTACTAGTAATTTTTTATAATGGAGGAAATATCCTTAATTGTAATGAAAATATCAAAAATATGAGGGGAAAATAATTGCTAATTATTTTAGGGGTGAAATATATCCTGGATATTTTTGACAGATTTGTGTGATTTAGCCAGACACATCCAAATTATTTGACTCTGTTTATGTTTATCATATAACATAAGGCAGCCATCCTGATTATTTGATAAAAATGAGTGGATATTTACATTTACATTTAGTCATTTAGCAGACGCTTTAAATAAAAAAGAAAAAAAGAAGATAAATATAGATAAAGTAGAATTAAAATAGAATAGAAAGTGTTAAGAGTTAGAGGGTCAAATAAAAATATCAATAGATATCTGTTGGATTGATCATCTGATTGTCTCTCTGTAGGAGTATATCAGGCATGTTGATCCGGTCAGTCATCTGGGTCTGGGTTCAGACAGTGTGGAGGGTTATCGTATTGGAGATGTGATCCGGTCCGGCGGAGTAGACACACCTGAACTCCTGCCCTGTGGATACCTTGTGGGAGAGAATGACACAATCAACATCTCACTGACAGGTTCACACAATGAAATTTTATTCGCTCTCATTATTTGTCAAGATTGTTTCGTATTTCAGTTGTTATTAACACTGTGAGTGTTTCTCTCGTTTCAGATGTGAACTCTCAGTCTGAGGATTCTCTGGTCTTCGAGACGCTGATCCCCAAACCCATGCTCCAGCGTTACACGTCTTTGCTTCAGGAACATCGCAGGATCATCCTTTCAGGCCCCAGCGGCACTGGAAAATCCTACCTGGCCCACAGACTGGCAGAGCATCTGGTGCTGCGAGAGGGCAGACTGCCCAATGAGAGCAACATTGTCACCTTCAACGTCGACCATAAATCCAGCAAGGTGAGAATCGGCCTCTTTTCCTTGGTTTGTGAGCTGAGTTGTTTGTATCATTTCTACATCATTTAAACTCTAGTTTATAGAACTTCTATGTCAAAAGAGCAAGGAAAATTCATTTGTGACCCTGGACAACAAAACCGTAAGAGTCAATTTTCTGAAATTGAGATTTATACATGATCTGAAAGCTGAATTAAATAAGCTTTTTATTTGACTGTTTGAAAATCTGAAATCTGAGGGTGCAAAAAAATCTAAATATTGAGAAAATCGCCTTTAAAGTTGTCCAAGTGAAGTCCTTAGCATTGCATATTATTAATCAAAAATTAGGTTTTGATATGTTTATGGTAGTAAATGTACAAAATATCTTCATGGAACATGATCTGTCCTTAATATCCTAATGATTTTTGGCATAAAATAAATATTTTGACCCAAACAATGTAATGTTGGCTATTGCTACAAATATACCCGTGCAACTTTTATCTCCAAAACGTCAAATAAAAATGACTAGCTAACAAGATATGACCCGAAGTCTAGAAATCCTTGTACATTAGAATGTAAAGATGTGTATATTTATCTGCTAGGAGTTGCGTCAGTACTTAGCTAATATAGTGGAGCAGTGCAGCGCTGACGGACAGGACACTGAAGCCCCTCTGGTGCTCATTCTGGACAACCTTCATCACACCAGCTCACTGGGAGAGATCTTCAACGGCTTGCTTAACTGCAAATACCAGCGCTGGTGAGTCTGCCTTTTATATTTTTTATTTAAATACATGTTCAAATGTTTGAAGTCAGTGTGATTTGTTTTTCAGAAAAAAATGAACACTTTTATTCAGTAGAGACATTAAAGTGACAGCAAAGACATTTATAATGTTACAAAAGATTTCTATTTCAAATAAAAGCCGTTCCACAAAAAAAAAACTTTAGGCAGCACAACTGTTTTCCACATTGATGTGAATGTTAGAGGCCTTTTTTGCTTTTGTTAATTGTATAATAAATAAAAAGAAAAGGAATAGATAGAATAGAAAAAGAATAGAGAAGCTAATGTTAGTTTTTTTTTAAGAAAACAAGCAGTTAGTAAATGAATAGAGTGCAAGTCTAAAAGGGGCAAGTTTTTTTAAGAATAGAATTAGAATAGAGATTGCTAGATTTAGAGGGTCAAATAAAGATGGAAGAGATGTGTTTTTAGCCGATTCTTGAAGATGGCTAAGGATTTTAAAAGTAATTTTTAAAATTACTTTTTAAAATGTATTAGATTATTTCCAATTGTAATAATATTTCAAAATAGTATTGTTTTTACTATATTTTGTGGCCACAAATGATTTACAAAAGCATTTAAAAATCTTACCAACCCCAACCTTTTGAACAAAGTGTATATTCAAGTACATAAAAAAAAAACGTGTTTATGTGCACACTATAATGTCACACTACAGTCAGTATAACAAAAGCATATTAATGAACACAGCAATAATAAGTGTGTGTACAATTAATGGTTTTATTTTGTCTCTCTGTATTTGCAGCCCGTATATAATCGGCACGATGAGTCAGGCGACATCTTCTGCTCCAAACCTGCAACTTCATCATAACTTCAGGTACAAAACTGCTCTGTTTTGTCTTGAATTAGCCCTAAAACAATGCCTTGGCCTTAATGGGGAAACTGCCATAGAGCGACCTCTAGATGGCGTCATTGTGCTGTTGTTGATCGCAATGAAAAGATTCTAATTGTCCTTTACATCTCAGTGAACAGTGTGTGTGTGCGCGTATGTATATATTTATATTATATATATATATTTATAAGTTCCCTTTTTGTTTTTGTATTTCTATTAAATGCTAACATGAGCTACGTGTGATTTCCATCCCAGATGGGTGCTGTGTGCTAATCACATGGAGCCGGTAAAAGGTTTCCTGGGCCGGTTTCTGAGGAGGAAGCTGATTGAGACCGAGATTGGCAGCCGAACACGTAACCCGGAGCTGGTGAAGATCATAGAATGGATCCCTCAGGTCTGGCACCACCTCAACCGCTTCCTGGAGGCCCATAGCTCGTCTGATGTGACCATTGGTACGGAGATAACCAGCCATACTGAAACCAAATATTAACAGACCATTCCCAGTGTCACTAATTCACTCTGCAAGAGTTGAATGTGAGTCTCATGTCTCTTCATCCAGGTCCACGTTTGTTCCTGTCATGTCCGATGGATGTGGACGGTTCTCGCGTTTGGTTCACTGACCTGTGGAACTACTCCATCATCCCCTACATGCTGGAGGCTGTGAGAGAAGGCTTACAGGTAACATTTGCCCTCTTTTATAGTAAAATCTACCTTTTTCACAGTCACTGATGTCTTTTTTTAATTAAATTTCATTGTAAAAGTGACCTCGCACAAAGTAGTTATTTCTTGCCTCTCCATATCTCTCAATTTATAGAAACAAACAATTTATCGATTGTCTGTTTGTTTGCGTTTGTTTAGCTGTACGGTCGCAGAGCTGCATGGGAGGATCCTGCGCTGTGGGTTCTGGAGACTTTTCCATGGGCAGCTTCTCATCAGCACCCTGATTGGCCAGCTTTGCTGCAGCTCCGCCCAGAGGACGTGGGCTTTGATGGATACTCCGCCTCCAGAGAGGGCCTTAACAAACAGAGTACGCAGAGTGACAGTGATGCCGACCCACTGGTGAGAAACACAAACAGATAAAAGCATTAGTTTAGTGTAGCACAGTTTATGTTTATTATTTTCTGACAAACATTTCAAAAGTTACGAGTAAAAATAGCCATTTTTCATACCTCATGACCTGTAGGTGAAGCTGTCCCCAAAGTTGGCAGGTATCCTCAGATCTTGGTGCTTGTGAGGCGTAGCATGTTTGGTTTTGCTAGTTTTTTGCTACTATTGAGATACAGCTTCTCATCTGATTTTGGGTCAGCATCAGCAGTTTGTGTCATCAAAACGTTTGGGCAGAGGCAAAAAAAAAAGTCCAGGCATTTACAGGCAGTTTTGTGTGGATCGGTCCATCAATCATTTGAACCAATTGTGAGAACTCAATCAATTTTGAAGGAATAGTGAAAAAATAAAATACAGTGATTTTCAAAATGGCACCTACTGTAACGAGTGCAGTCTAAGATATTGAAAATGATCAACATTATTTACAAAATTTGCAAAAAAAAAGTTGGGGACCTAATAAAGAAGAAAATTTGTCTTGGTAGAGTTGCTCAATAAAATCATAATATAAACAATGGCTGAAAATAATTCACACATAATTTATGTAAATTTTTGTAAGATGAATACTCTGTAGCTTATTGGTGGTGTAGAAAAAAGTTTTATTCTACCACGCCATGTTGAGATCATATGACCTTATGAATGTAACTTAGTACTTTAGTACTTAATTGAACTGAAAATAATAAAAAAAATAATAATTTCAGTATATGAAAATGTAATAACAGTTTACATTTTCATCTAGTTTTTACACTTAATTTTCTTTCAGTTTTATTATTATTATTGTTTTATTTCACTTATTTAAAATAAAATTAATTCACAAAAAATTAACAAATGTTGACATTTCTGGAATTTGGAGACTTTGTATGCAACAGTGACAAATGTGACAAGAAGTTGTAAAAAAAATTGTAAAGAGCAAAATTGATATATACATTTTACATTAAAGTATATTTATACATGTGCATTGTATAAATGCATATTTATATATTTATATATAAAAAACGTCTCAGGTTATGCATGTAACCATGGTTCCCTGAGTAGGGAACGAGACACTGCGTCCTCTAGGGGTCGCTATGGGGAACGCCTCGTCGTGACCCGTGTCTGAAGCATACATTGAAAAAACACCAACAACATGTTGGCCGGCGACAGCC